ATATACCCTCTCCCTCCTATACTGTAATAGCAGTTTTTCGTCAAAAATATTTCAAAAGATTTAAATGTAAATAATTTGCAGCATTTTAAAAAATCAATCAAATGAAAATAAGGCAATACGCATAAACGGAAGGAGTGTAAGTAAAAACTTCGACAAACCACAGATTTTCTTATTTAAACGACTCAAGTATTAAAAAGTTGTAATACTAAAATAATTTTTTAAAGTTGCTTTTTTTTTTGGTCTTGCGGAAAAAATGTTTTCGACTTGATAACTTTTATAAATGTTATGAAAAATCACTTAGGAAGAGTGCCACCAATTTTTTAAAATTCCCATTGTTAATTATTTTTAATGAACGAGTTCTTTTGAAATTGTTTTATTACGTAACTCGAAGTAATAGAAGTAAAAATCCACAATAATAATCGCAAGGTGACGTAATGTAACGTAAGTTAGATATATTGTATCAAAAGTAAAGTGACGTAACGTAAAATAGATATATAGTATCAAAAAAACCAGTTTATTTTCCTTACCCGGTAAATTGGCATAGAATTCTTAACATCTTGTGAAAGTTTCGAATACAAACTACTTTACTGATTCGCAGAAATCTGACCTAAAAGTTGAAGTAATTTTTTTACCTAGTTTTCCGTGTAACGTATTTTAAGTTACATTTTCAGTAATAAGTTCGCTCTCTTTCAGCCAGACTCAAAATATTTTAGCTTATTTTATTCTTCAGACTATCAGCTTTTATAGAAAATAGCTATGAGTTTGATTTACAGTTTAAATAAGCAAATATTTGATAAAGTTGTTGCGCGTTTAATGTAAGTTAAACTTAATTTCTCCGCGCAGCGGTCTTGCTTGTCAAGGTTAGTGTTTCGGAGTTAAAGAGTTGAGAGAGGGTTGTACCACGATTTACAACAAAAAAGAAAAAAATAATGAGTAGCCTCCTCGACTGTAGTGGCCCCCTCGGTCCTTGGGGTGGTGAATAATTAAAAAAAAAAAAAAAAAGTTAAAAAGGGAATTGCCCATAACCCCATAACTAAATGCTTGTTGTCGCCATGGGTGTCCCCGAATTTACTAGTATATTATTATACTAGTAAATTCGGGGACTATTATTAAATACTAGTAAATTATACTTAATTTACTAGTATTTAATAATATTATTATATAGTATTTAATAATATTATTAAATACTAGTAAATTCGGGGACACCCATGGCGACAGCAAGCATTTAGTTATGGGCAATTCCCTTTTTAACTTTTTTTTTTTTTTTTAACTATTCACTTCCCCAAGGCCCAAGGGGGCCACTACAGTCGAGGAGGCTACTCATTTTTTTTTTCTTTTGAAATATCATATCATATTATAATATGATAAAGATGTTCTTAAGAAACTTGCAGAAGAAAAAGTCTTGTCGTTGAGAACATTTGAATTAAAAAAACAAACAAAAAAATATTAAAAGCAAATTTAATATGTAATTTTGTAAATAATGCAAACAAATATATTGTAAATAATGCAAACAAATATATTGTAAATAATGCAAACAAATATATTGAGAATTACTATATATTAGTAATAACAGGTGCCGTAAAAATGTCATAATAATAACAATTGTCATATAAGTTTCATAAATATAATGGCTAATTTTTCTATTTCTTTTATTTTTATTTTTATTAACTATCTTAAATGTGCAAATTGATAAAATTGATTTTGATAAATATAAGACGTTTTGCTTTTTCTACAAATTAAAGGTTGTGTTTGTGTACGTGTGTGTTTGTGTGTGTGTGTGTGTGTGTGTGTGTGTGTGTGTGTGTGTGTGTGTGTGTATGTGTGTGACTAGATGATTGCAATAATTTATTAGTTCTAGGTTGTTTATTTTTTGTTTGTATTATAGTTGTGCATTAGTATTATTTGTATTTATTTTATTGTACTATTTATTTATTTGTATTTATATTATTATTATTTATTTAAATATAAGACGTTTTGCTTTTTCTACAATTTAAAGGTTGTGTTTGTGTTAAATCTACAAATAGTTTCCATTTTTTAGTATCTCAGGCAGGGCGATTGATTGATTATTTAGCGACCCTTAAGGAAGAAATATGAACTATTTGACAAAGCGTTGATGCTGTTTTATCTGAAGAAGCAAAGATTAAAAAAGAATTAAATGCTTTGAAAATGTTTAACATTTCTAATGGATCCGTTGAACAGCCAGTTAACACACCGTAAGAATACCATTAGGAGTACAGAGAAAACATGTCAGTTATTAAGCATGAATACACAAATTAAGAATTATTGACACTAAAAGACTTTGTTAGTAAGCAAAATATAGACGCTTCGAAATCAGCAAAACATAGCAAAAAGTTAAATTTTATGAAAGAAAACGGAAACCTACAATTTGGGGAGTATTAATTTGGGGAACCACATGCTGGAATATTTGCAGAAAAACTGCAGAGAATTCAATTAAAGATAATTAATTGGCAACATGTTCTTGATTTATGAACAACTTTGACAGTTCAGTGCATTGCAAAGTTATAGCAATACGTAAGTTTTTGTAAGTTAGTTTTTTAAAACAGATTCTTTCTGTTGACCAGCCCCGTACCCCTTCTAAATCTATTAGGCTGGTGCGGATATATTTATAAAACATTGTTTCCAGTTTAGGATCTTGAATCAAATGATGGGTTTTGCTTGTGTCTCTGTTTTTATGACTAGGTAACTTATTCTATTATCTCCTAATGATGGTACAGCTCTAAAACCCAAACTCCGCGTTAGCCCTCAGAGAGGCCGATTCCATCAACAGCTGTAAAATGGCACTGTTAGAGTACTAACAGTGCCATGTTGCGCACGGATGGTGTGTTCGTACTTTTGGTGTGCATTGTCGAGGCCACATTTGGAGCCCTTTATTACGTTTTACGGTTTATTAATAGTAACGATGCAATTGCTTGGTCTATTAACTAGGAAAATATTATATGGTATATATAATCATGTAAAATTTATTATAAAGTAGCATTTTAGTATAATGTTGATTAGCGTTAAATCGAAATATATAATCCAAAAAAATTCACGAATTATTATTGAGTTTTAAAAAGCCCTCATTTTGTAACGAACATTTGCTAACAGAGAGTAGTTTCAAGCATTTGAATACAACGATGAACAACAGCGAAAGTGAGTTGAATGAGCAATAGTGAAAGTGAAGATGAACAATAGTGAAAGTGAGTTGGATGACATTCATTATAATCAGATGGATTAACTTAAACAAGCTAAAACGAAGACAAAAGTGACGTGTACAAGAACGAGAAGAACGCTGATGGAATTACTTAATTCCGACCTTACGAGCAAAAACGACGTTCACAAATGTTGGAAGAAAATTGACGAAGCACAATTGGCTGCAACAAAAGCAATGAATGAACTTTCAATTGAGTATCGGAAAAAGAATGAGTATGAAATGGTGACAAAAATCAAAACAGAAATTGAAGCAATTGAGTCTGTGTACATGGAAGCAGACGAAATGACGCATGAATATCTTTACTCGTGAAAAGATGACGCATTAAGTATTGTCATAATAGGAGATTACGGTGAACGTAAACAAAAACTTGAACTGATCTGTCAAAAAGTGAAATTAAAAAGGAGCATTAAACAAAGTTGTGGTTGTTATAAGCAACATGGTGTGAAAAAGGTGGAAATGGGATCAAAGCATTGTGGATTAATTGATAATGGATCGATGGATGATGGAGTATATATAAAGTTGATGGAGCGAAATCGGCTAATGGAATTGGACGTTCAACTTAAATGGCATGCTGAAATCTCTGAAGTTAAGAAGAGCTGTCAAACACACTCTGTTGGAACTGGTTTGCGAGGAAAATCAACAAAAAGAACGGAGTACAATAAAAAAGGTAGTGTCACTCAATCGGCGAAAAACGTCTTTGGACAAGACTTTTGGAGGCACTTATCTAGAGTGTCAATTTCTGTGTCTTTGTCTTCTCAGGAGATAAAACACAATGTGAAAATTAGAAACAGCGTTTAAAGCATGTATTGGTAAAGCTCCAACCACACCTGAATACAAACTGCTGCAACTTTCTGAATACAAACTGTTACCAGTATCTATCAGGAGAAGCTTGAAAAGTTGTTGAATGTTTGGGGTATTCAAAAGTTGCATACGAAGTTGCAAAAGATTGACTCGAAATAAAATATGATGACAAACAACGACAAATAGCCTTGTATTTGGAGAGAGTGGAAAATTCAGCCCAGTAAAAGCTAACAAACCAAATGATCTTGATAATATTGCTGATATGTTAGACATTGCAGTTATAAATTTAAAAATGGGCAAATTTGATGAGCTAGGAAATGGATCACTACATATCAAACTTATGAAGATGTTGCCGTAAACAATGCTAAGTGTATTTTTACGAAGGTTATTTGAAATCCAAAAATGTTTTGGAGTGGAATCGTTGCAAGAATGGGTTATTCAATTTTCTTGTCTTGAAGATTACATCACATAAAATGGCATAATTATGTTGACCACATTATGTGCTACATATGATTGCGATATCTAATTTTTCACTTGCGAAATCAAAATTTATATCTCATTACGTAGAATAACTTTGTGGATCATAAGTGGTACAAATGCGGATCATTACCACATTGAGCATCGATATAAATATCATTTATCATTATTTTTTTCACTTAAACACGCCATGGTTACATAAAAGGCACATTTACCTTTCTTGTCGGGTTGTTAAACAAAGTTAACTCATCAATTAAACTTATTTATCAAAACAAATGTTTAACAAACCAATCAAAACGTCCAATGTTCAACAGACTAATCAAAGCTTAAGTTTGGTTTGTTAAAGAAAGTAAATTATCTTTAACTAATTTATGATTGGTTTGGTTTGTTAAAATTAGTATGATTGGTTTGTTAAAGTTAGTATACTATCTTTAACAAACCAATCATAAGAAATAATGTTCTGAAATATATGTTGTTCAGCATTATATAAGAATACTATTAAATGGTTGAATGAACCGAGTACAAAATAAAAGTCAATTTTTACTTTATGCTTATGTTTCAAACTAAAATATAATTTAAACATGAAGTTATTATCCCTCCTGTTTCTTGCTGTAATTGCATCTTTATTATTATCTTGTCCAGCAAAAAAGACATATAAAAAAAAAGCCTTGAATCGTTCATTTTTATCAAACTTAAAAAGTCTTCTTCCCGATTATTTTTCTGAAAAGCAGTGTCAGGCAACTAAACAAAAAAAAGAGGTAATAAATTTTTTTTATTTTTTAAGATCTTAGCAATGAATTCAATAATTGAATTCATTGATAGTTCAAACCGTCATTCCAATTAGTGCAATGACGGTTTTAACTACTTTTAACAAAATCATTTTGGTTACATGCGTTGATATTTTACTGGCAAGTTCTAAATAGTATTTATAGATTTAATAAATTTAAAAAAACTATTGAGTTAATGATTTTAATTTTGCGTTTAAGAGTAATATCAAAACAGCTTTAAAATATTTTTTCACCTAAAATTTACAATATATGGAAACTTGCTAAATAAATTGGTAAGCTCTCTTGTCAAACCTTTATTACAATGAGTGTTCTTCAGGTCCGTAAACAAATAAAAGCCTTCCATTAGCAAAACTACCAAACCTTCAGTCAATGTATATACACTCATTGCGCTTACCTGTATAAACTAAGTTGATGTAAGTACACTCGGTTGTATCTGTATATCCTAGGTTACCTTTACCCCTATAAAACCAAGTTAGCGGACGTGAAGGACACTTAACATTGGAATAGGGGTCACGGCTGTTTCACTCAATATAAAAGCGAGCTTGACGTCACAATTATTTTTGTGTTTATCAAAAAAAAAATTTCCGCAAAAGAAGTTTAAAAATGCACTAACTTTAAAATAATAGTGTTTTTTTCCTATCAGCGCTTACATCTTCAAATAAAAAAAATATAAAAGACCCATCTTTTTTTTTAAAAATAAATATTTACATTAAACGGAATAAAAATATTAATGTTTAAATATTGCAAATGATTTGGGATCACTTTTCTGTTTTTTGTGGCTTTTACAGAAAACCTGTCTTGGGTCAACTAAGATTTCATTACATAGCTACATGCCTCATGGTTGAAATTTGGAACATTTATAAATAAATGTCCATTCTATCTTATATTTGGTGCGGATTGCTTATTTTTTATTTTTTAACTATTTTTTATTGCATTTATTATATTTTTAATTTTATTATTAAATAATGAAAATCGTATTATTTTTGTAATCCGCACGAAATTATTAAAATTTCAACCCTTTCTGCATATAAAAATCAAATAATTGTTTGCTGTACCTTTAGCTATGTTATGAAATATGTATTCAAACTTAGCTAGTTTAGAAACAAATTTTTCTAGTTTGCTCAAAACCTTGTTTACATTTCAAAACAATCACGTGACCTTGAATTCTTACATCCCAAGCAAATATGTAATAAATTTTATGAAAACAACTTTCTTAGCGAGACGAATTTTGAAGTATAAAATAAACAAAATTAGGCGCTTTTTTCTTTAGAATGGTGCATAAACCTATTATCAACTGGGTGTTCAAAGATCGTTTTCTACTTAAAGAACTTATTAATAGATCAACTTATTAATGGGTTAATCAAAGTTTTTTATAAGAATAAAAACACATTATCAAACAATTTAAATTAGCTATTTGTATATTTAAGGAAACGTTTATTTTTTGTGAAAAAAGATTGATTCAAGTGCCATAAAATAATTCTATTACCAAAAGCAAGGTTAATTCAAAAACTTTAACTCAGTTTTATCCATGAATTATTTTATTAGAGTCTCTATTTATTAACAACCTAACACCATGTTATTAAAACTGTATGCATAGAAAAGAATTGCTCAAGTTTTTTAAAGGTTTTAGCTTAAAATTTTAAGACTAAATATTTCAAACTTGAAATCTGGTTTTATTTTATAATGCATTGAATTTGTAAATTTAGTGAATTATTTTCTAAAACAAGAACTTCTAGATTTAAAAACGTGCTCATTTAACAGCTAATCCCCCCTTTAACAACATTTTTCATAATTTTGCAAGAAATGCGGTTTGCTTGCAGATTTTAATAAAGACTGTTTTAGTTTTTCTTTAACAATTAAGTAAGATTTTTTTATTTTATTAATAGTTAAACAACGAGTGTATTTAATAATAACTATCAGAAATATATTTTTCTGATTTTTTTTTTATAAAAAGTAACAACAAATTACTAAAATTTAACCAAGTTCATCATTTGTTGCGTTTTTTATAAACTAAAAGAAATTTTTTTACTATTGTATTAAATGTCGTATGATAAAAAATTTTATTGTTGTTTTTACTCCATTTACAAAACAAAATTATCTCTAATATTTCAAAAGTTATAAATGTTTTAGTAACACCCCCTAAGTCAAAATTTTCAAAAAAAACAAGAAGCCGTAACGCTCACTCTAAACAGCCGTGGGGTTTTAACAAGAGAATCTATCAAATAAACAATAAATCTTTTATTTACAGTTTCATGTAATTCGAATCTTAAAATATGTTTGAACAGCAAAAGTTTTAAATTATAGGAACTTAATTCTAAATTTTAAACCTCAAAAGAACTGAAAAATTTGTTCGTTTAAATAATCTAACTGTTTTTGTTCTAAATATAAAATATATAAATGGAGTTTGCTCCTGGTCTAGAAGTAAGCTCAAAAACCAAAAAATGCTGGACCTGTCTCTGAAAACTAGTTTAGGAATAACTGGATAGAAAAATAATTTCAAAGTTCACAAAAGTTCTTCAGGGTTAGAGTTAAAAGATGTTATACCAATAAGTCAAAATTTTCCAAAGTTTACAACTTAAACTAAAATATTTTTTAAAAAGTTATGCTTTCAAACAACTGCTAATAAATAACAATGTTTTACTGTTCCACAAGTTTCTTTTTAGTAAACACCTGATACAAAATTTTTTTGAACATTTGTTGTAAGCTAAAAGGTAAAGCTAATGATTTCAATTGATTCATGTTTTGGTCAAGCATTTACATCTAGATTATCAACTCTAATTTGCAATGAAGCTTAGTTAGAAAATTTTTTAAATTTTAACATTTTGTTGTTTCCTATTTAAATTTTAAAAAAGTAAACAGGTTTTAAACAAGAATGTGATGTAACAAAGCATAATATCATATTATATTGCAATAAAAGGTTTTAAATAAAGTGTATCATTGATTCAATAATAGTTTATTTAACGCATCAGATGAAACAGGTTTATTTAAACCTTATAGATACACACAAAAAAAAATGGTTGATGTTTATAAACTCAATTTTAAAAATTTTTTTTGCATAAAGAACCGGAAACAGACCTTTGCTTTCCTTCAGAATTTTTTATTCCCCATCATTTGAGCACAAATATCTGTTGACAGCATTAACACAAATTATTTAATTGAGATTCCAGTCTGCTGACATATATATTTTTAAGTGTTAGCTTTTGTTTAAAAAATTCGATAATTTTTGAAAATGAATTTCAGTTACAACATTTATGTTTTGATGTTTTGATGAACTTGATTTTTTGTTCATTTATAGCCACAAAAACTAGTTGTTTTTATTGCTCTCTCTTTATTATTTTTTTTGTTTTTATTGCTAAAGATTTAGATCTTATAAGTATTTTTTTTTTTTGTTAAAATCTATATTTTCAAATCAGAGAATAAAAATCAGTTAAACACAGGAAAGTTACATAGTACAGATTACATTTGATTTTTTGAATATTTCAATCATGTAGATGATGCAAGGAATACATATATAGAATTTATAATTCATCACATGTCTAAATACTCGGGAATTCAGACTTTTAATGAATTTCACGAAATGATAAAAAAATCATCACAGGTATTACTATGGAAACGCAATCAAACATAAAATAAATATAAATGCAATTTGTAAAGAAAACAAAATTTAATGAGATGGAAATATATATCGCAAGTAGTGTATTTTTATAACGCCTTTTTTTAAAATATGTTTTTAATATTGAACAACCATTAGCTATTAAGCATTTGAATCAAGTAAAATGTGATAAAAAAAAAACTTAGGAAACGCTTGAATAAATAATAATATATAATGAATAATAATATATAACAAATAATAATATATAATAAATTTAGGAATAAATTAAAAGATAATACTTACCTAGTGGTGTAAACAGTTGCACTTAGAGCAACCGTAACATCAGATATTATAACTTGAAAAAAAAACGTGATGAGAAAATATAATTTACTTCTTTAAATGTGTTTCTTTTTTATTTTAGACACCCAGTGCAGCTAGAGGTGACTCTCCAATCAAATCCTTTGGATACCCAGATTTTAACATCAACACAAAAAGTGTTAGCTTAGATCCAAAGGCATCGCTTTCGGTTATTTCGAGTTTTAAAAGCCCAATAAATCTAGGAGTATACGATTTTTTAATTGCTGGTAAACCAAATGAGCTGCAAGCTTTTTTTAACTGTTTTAGTGATTATGAAGTAAATGGGTTTATTTTGACTGAAAATGGAAAATGGGAAAAAAATAAAGGAACTATTAAAATACAGTTGTCAAATTTAATCAAAGCTCCAAAGGTTACGGAAAGTGTGTTTGAAATGATATTTTCTCTCGGAATGGATAAAATTACAAAGTATTTAGATCCAAAAGCCATAATAGGTCAGTCGTTATTTGGTAATCCGAATGTTTTGAACAATATTGAAAAAATTAAAGATGCATGGAGATTAGCTAAAAAATATTTACCCATTCCTGACAACCTTGTGGATAAAGTTGCAGAAATATGTGCCAAAGACATTCCTTTAAACAAAAAAATAAAAGAGTTTTTTAATTTGTTAAAAAGTGCACATAATGCATTATCAGATTTTAAAAAACAATGGAAAGGAAAGGACAACGTTAATAGAAATTCAAAAGTGTTGGTTTCTTTGACAATGTATTCGAAACCAGAAAATAATGTGAGGGCAACTTATGATACAGGGAAATCTGTAATAAAATTAAAAGATATTGGCGATGCAGTAAATACATTTATGACAAAGATTGCATAGCAAATTGGTTCCTAACAGCCATATAAAATACAATTTTCAATAATTTGTGGCTAAGTTTATGCCTTGATATACCGTAAATGGTTGATTAGGCACTGAGAGTTGGGAGTTGAACGTGCACTCTCAAAGTATCATCTTTTTTTAAAACGTTTCTTTTATCATTGTACAAACATTTTACTTCTTTTTAATACACCAATATGAAAAAATTTCCGTTGTTGAATACACTAGTATGAAAAAATGTCCGGAGCATGTAAAAAACATAAGGTGTTATCCTCACGCCCATTTGGTAAGATTAACGTTTTTAAAAAAGAACATTTCTAAGGGTTTATAGGTTTAAAAAAAGTTATTGCAAAACGATTTACAAAAAAAAAAAAAAAAAAAAAAATTAGTTACAAGTTACCATTTTCATTTTTTAATAATAAACTTTTACCGCAATATAACGGTTTAAAATAATTAATCCATCATACGTGGTTTCGTGTTAATTGAAAAAATCCCAGCTAGCACACATACTTTGGCAAAGCGTTCAAACCATATAGTGGATTTCCTTGACCAATCGGTTGTTGTGTCAAAATAAAGTTGTTTTTATATCATTTTGGTTACAAATGCTACGTCGCCAACAACAAAAAACCAACACAGCAAAAAACATAACATTAACATAACGGTTACAAAATGGTTTTTTGAAAAATTTGGCGTTATGTTTATCGTTATGTTTGTAAAAAATGTCTTAAGCGTTATGTTGCCCAAAATTATTAGTATATAAACGAAAGGCGTTATGTTTAACCGTTATAACTTTTACCTTCAACCGTTAACTTACGTATTTATATGATATCATAAAAGTATATGTAAAAAAGGCGGTAATTTTTGCAAATTGTTTTTTTTGTTACAAAAAAAACTTTTTTTTTTGTATTGTGTATCAATATATTTTTGGTAACTGAGGCTCATACTTTTAATATGAATTATAGCTAACATAATTGATTCGTATACTTTGAATATTAACAAATATTTTTCTATATTTATATTCATTTTCATTAATTTTAGTTTTCATCGCATTTATAAAAATTATAACAACACATGTGTTCTTAAGATTTAGTATTTATATACTTCATAATGTAATCTAATTATAATAGTAAGCGTAATGTAAATTATTATTTTAGTATTGCTAAACTTTATTTGAATATTTGGAGTCATCCTTAAAGTACGTACGCAGATAAAGACAGGGATAAGTACCCCCATACCTGCGTACGTAAGACAGCGACAAAAAACCGCGTACATACTTGCTGTACGTACGCGTTTTAGCTATTTCTCGTTCTCAATATCTCCTAAAACTTGATTTTTTTTTTTTTTGATTTTTGACAAAAGCATTGAATTTCGCGGGTTTAAAAAATCAATATTGGGTTGTAACATAAGTTTGTAGAGTTTTTTCATAAAGATTTATTTGAACAAAAAACAATAATTATAATAATAAATTAATCAATGATGTATTCTCCGTTACTGTTTACGACCTTCTCCCATCTCTCGACGAATTTGTTGATGCCGTTATCCCAAAAATTATTCGGTCTGGTGTCGAAGAATTTGTTTAGCCAGTTTTTAAGATCCTCTTTGCCATCAAAGGTAACACCCCTCATTTGTTTGATAGAGAGCGGAAAAGGTGATAGTCGGTAGGAGCAAGATCCGAAGAGTACGTTGGATGCTGAAGAACCTCCCATTCAAGCTCTTGGAGTGCTGTTTTGACAACTTGGGCAATACGGGGCTTGGCATTGTCGTGGAGCAAGATGACTTGACCTTGTCTATCGGGTTTTTTCAGCCGAATAGCTTCATTTACACGGTTCAGCTGGGCAATGTAGACCTCCTTGTTGACAGTGGCGTTTCGTTTAAGCATTTCCCAGTGCACCATCCCTTCCCAGTCCCACCAAACGCAGATCATGGCCTTTTTTGGGTGAAGATCTTGCTTGACTCTCGGCTTCAGCGTCTCTCCTGGGGCCGCCCAATCCTTTCTTTGCTTCACATTGATGTACAGACACCATTTCTCATCTCCCGTGATGATTCGATACAAAAAGCGCTGTTTGTGTCAATGTGTTGCTCGGTGGCGGGCGAGATGTTGAGCAGCAATTTGAAGGCGTTTTTCTTTGTTTTCTTCGTTAAGCTTGTGAGGTACCCATGCTCCATATTTTTGAGTAAAACCAATTGATTGAAGGCGAGAGATTGTCATTGCACTGATGTTCATTTTTTCAGCCAACTCACGAGTTGTTTGGCGACCATCTTCCTTCAATAGTGCCTTCCGATGCTCTTCGTCAAATTCTGCAGTAGACACACCTTTGTGCAGTAGACACACCTTAGAAACCTTTCCCGTACACACTGCATATGTCCCGAGCGGCTTCGGCTGCTTTTTGACCTCGATGAAAAGCAAAGAAAAGCAGATGTCGAAAATGCTGATTTTTTCTTCCTGGGTATTCCATTTCTGAGCCAGAAAAAAGACGAACAAATAAATTATCCAAAAAAACAAATAAAACCGTTTTGTAGACGAGAAAGAGCTCTTTCGAATGAATGTATACACTTTGCTAAAAAATAAAACAAATCGTTGTAAAATAACTCTAACGCAAAACTCTACGAACTTATATCACGACCCAATATTACGTTAAGTAATAGAGAAATGTCAAAGAAACTAAAGATTTTTTGTTTTTAATGTATTGAATACGTAACGCGTTTCGGAAGACAATAGACGGGGATTCATTTTGTAATAAATAATGCGTATGTACGTAGAAAGAGGAGAGGTCATTTAAAGTATAGAGAAGCGTACAAGAGGAAAGGGAGGTCCTAAATCAGTGTTTTACTGCGAACGTACTTTATGGATGCCCCTTTCTTGAATATTTTTGAATTGAATTTTTAATAAAGGATTGTTTTTGCAAATAACACACCGATATTTTTGAATATGTTTATTTTTATTTACAGAAAAAAATCTGTTCAACTCTTTATATATATATATATATATATATATATATATATATATATATATATATATATATATATATATATATATATATATATATATATATATATATATATATATATATATATATATATATATATATATATATATATATATATATATATATATATATATACATATATATATATATATATATATATATATATATATATATATATATATATATATATATATATATATATATATATATATATATAAACTTTTGTTTTCAAAGAAATAAATGTTTATAATGGATAACAAAGCATGCTCGAAAATAGTTAAAATTTTCTCAAACAAAACGTATAAACTGTGCTTCCACGTTAAAATGGAAATGAAGTTTCCACTTTTTTTTAACGAAGTTTTTCATATTATAAGATTCTAAAAATATTACAAAATATCTTACAAATAACTAAATAAAAAATTTCTTTTTTGTCTTATGTTGTATGTTTTTTGACTGAAATCATGCAAAAAGTCTTTAATTTTTTTGGAAACACAGCGAAAATTTGAAATGTCAAAATAAAATACGCATATTAAATATAAAATAGCACCTAACTCAAAATTATCTCCGTGATAAAAGTTCAAACAAGGAGCAATTTATTACAATCGCGTAAAAATGATTTAGGAGTATACCCTCCCAAAGCATTTGATTTAATTTTCAAAACACTTTTCATAAGGTTCTCGGGCAATTCAATGTCGTGAGTAGTAAAATTTTTTTCTTTAACCAATGATTTACTCGTAATTGACTCAATATTGTTATATCTGCTAATTTATTTTTTTAATCGGTATTTACGAGTTCTAATTGACTCAACTCCCTTTTATCAGTAGCTTTACAGGCAGAGAAAATTAAAGACAAACGCAGATTTGTCTTTTAGAATATCTTGGAACAACAAAAACTGTCTTGAAGTGAGGAAGGCTAATATCTTCTAAAACTAACATTTCTTCCCATTCAATTGCTGCAATATTTTTTTGAAAGAGAAACATCAAGGAATGCAAAAACCGCAGATAAGCTTCTGAAAATTCATTCTCAATATTTTTGAGAATGAATTTTCAGAAAAAAACTAATGCATAAACCTTTTAAAGCTACTTTTCTAACTGTGTACATAGAAAAATAATTGAATATCTTTAAGACAACAGTTTCAACAGCAATATTAAATACAAGAACTCATTTTTGCGTACTTCTCCTTAATGCCTCCAAAATTTACATTAGCATTGTCTCCAGCGAAAGTAACACACTTAGATAACAATTCATATGTTGGAGTGTTTCAGAGGTTTTATTTGGTGTGTAATCTAACGTAAGAATTTTAGTTTGGATACCACCTGCCTTCGAGTGAAAGTATTGAAATAGTATCTGAAGTTTTTCTGTGAACCGTGATTGCTAGGATCTGCGGAAAGACCAAAATATGAAATGATATCTAATGATTTCACCAGTTGATCAACATTGTGGGGCCTGTTACCTGGTTTGCGATTGTCTCAGTTTTTGTTTTAGAACATGCGATGTCTTTAACAATTTCCAAATCTTCAAATGACGTGTGCATTAAACTAGCTGTGCAGGCCGTGGAATTGTAAGATTGATGATGACAAACTGTATGAAATGCTAAATTTGCTTCAGCTGCGTGGTCTTTTTGAAGTCATTTTTATAAAAAAGTTGAAATTCAATTTAAGTGCTGTTATTCCGATAGGAGCAAAAAAAATCGGCATGCAAAATGTGCTGAGCTAAAAACGTTTTAATCAAAAAATAATAAATTTATACTGTTTTTTAATTCCTTTGCTGTTTTATCAAACAACAATTGGAAAAACAAAATGCGCTGAGTTAAAAATTTTAATTAGAGAATCGAACGTCAAAAAAAATCTTTTCAAGTTTAAAGAATAGCTAACTTTAAATGAGCAAATAAATGTAAAAAAAAAAAAAAAAAAATTTTAAAAGCCGGACATTTTAAATGTTTTTGGTTTTGCCTGCTGGACAGAGGACAAAGGATGAAAAGGGAGGACATGTCCTCCTTTTGTTGTCTTTTAGCCGTCTGGCAACCCTAACTAGTACAAACTTTTTTAACTTTTTTTTATTGACTTTAGTTTGCATAAAAATGTTTGAAGTTAAAACACTTTATTGTATGGTAAATGTTTATT